ACCGTACCGTACGTACGTACGTCGTACGTACGTTACGTTACGTTACGTTACGTTACTACTACGTAGTACGTACGTACGTACTACTTACTTACTACTACTCTCTCTCTCTCTCTCTCTCTCTCTCTCTCTCTCCTCCTCCTCTCTCTCTCTCTCTCTCTCTCTCTCTCTCTCTCTCTCTCTCTCTCTCTCTCTCTCTCTCTCTCTCTTTCTATCCCTCTATCTCTCTCACATTCTCTCTCACGCGCTTTCTTGCGCCCTCCATACCATCTCTCATTTCAATTTCTCTTTCTCACTTTCTCGATCTATTGCTCTCTCTCTGCTCTCGCGCTCCCTCTTTCTCATTTTCCTTGCACTCTTTCCCCGTCTCTCTCCCACTATCTCTCCCTCTCTCTATCTCTCTCTATCTCTCCCTCTCTCTATCATGCGACTAGACGCTTGTGATATTGTTGACTAGAGTTCATCTAGCGCGTGTTACCTCTACATTCGGGGCAACAGTGTCCTTCCCGCACGGCTACGTGCGATGCGGAGCAAGAAAGCACGGGACAGGCCCGCTTGAAGCATTCGAATCTGTTTTTCTGAAGAGAAAACAACGTAAATAGAATTACTAAACAAAATGAACGAGAGATTCGTACACTAGCCGTACGTTTGGATATGGATTTTTTTTTCAGCACTCGGTCACAGTCTGTCAACTAATTTGCCGCATGGTTAAGGCCGCTGGGTTAGATACGTTAGAAGGGCAAGATATCATAACTACAACTGTTAATCGTCAAATTATTGCATACCCATACATACTATTCGCTGTTGTTTGGACCCTGCTGTAAATACCGGTCAACATGAACCCTAGCCCTGCTCTTCTTGTGGCTAACCTTTTATATTCATTCTCGTGTTCGCGAGCATACGAAAACTCAAACAAGCGTCTCGGAAAACTCACAAACAGTAAAGCATGACATATGGCGTGTATTTTCTTCTGTTTAGACGGAGCAGTGCATGGGCATCGTGAAGTTGTTATACAGGCTACGTTGATATAATACAGAGACGGTTACTGACACGTACCTTGCAGGTGCACTGCACGCATATATCGGTGTCCAGTGTAAATGTTTCCCCTTCCTTATAGGTACCACATCCTGAAAAAGACGTAATAGTGAAAACAAGACGAAAAACACGCCGAAAGAATGACTACACTATTTCTTCTCGGCAAAATCAAACGCTGTCGGCATTCTGCGGCTGCGTATAATTGCAAGAGTGCAATCGTGTTGTTGCAGGGAAAGCGGGGTCATGTTTTCTGACCGCACGGGCCAAGATTTAAACCGCCTGGTATATTTGAAACTTGTTTTGCATCACCCAAGCCATCTGCCCGATAGACCCGTTAGCGTATTATACGCATGCAGTCTCCGTGCGCCTCGCCTGCTCTCCTTCGTCGCCCCCTTTCTCTTGTGAAAGTGAAGAATGTATAACTATATGCGTGAAAAAACAACGTCGACGAGATATGCCTATCGATGCGTTTCATTCAAGACTGTAAATTAAATTGTAAATTCAATGATTAGATTTATAAGATGAACCTCCCAGCGACTGTAATGAGTTTCTGTCTGGATAAAACACCTGCGTGAAATGACACACGTGCGTTGCCGTGGCACGTGAGACGTGCTATGCGCCCTGTTTTTGCATGATAATTAAAGCTCATTAGATATTCTAAATAATATCAAGAGCTATAATAATACATTTGTATTATTAGCTCTTGATAATATTAGAACTCGACTCGGTGCTATAGCCACTGTGATATGCTCAGTGTAGAGTAGTGGTATAAAGCTATGTCGTAGGCTATAGTAAATTGAGACTCAAAACATCTGTGGCATCTGCTATGAAATATGCTATTGTGGAAACGTCACTCTCGTTCTGTCTCCATGTATATCTCTCTTCCCAATTTCCACCTCTCTCGCGCGCACTTTCTCTTTCTCTTTCCCTCACTCTCTCTCTCTCTACACACACACACACGCACGCACGCACGCACACAACTCATCACGCACGCACGCACGCACGCACGCACGCACGCACGCACGCACGCACGCACGCACACACACACACACACACACTTACAGCCACACTATATAATATAGATATATATTATATATATATATATGTGTGTGGTTGTGTGGGCTGTGTGTGGGTGTTATATTATAATTATGTTACTTGCTGCGACAGCAGGTTTGTGTGTGAATGCCAGACCTTTATTTATGTTGTGCGATATGCCAGGTATTATTGCCCACCTTCGGGGGATTCACTCTTCTCGAGTATAGCGTCGAAAGTTAAAAGCCAAATTCATCTTTCAATATTGACAACCCGGGCGTGCTCTATCGCTCTACGGTTAAGATGTCCATTGTTACCTGAGCACACACGTTAAGTGGTCGTCCCTGGCGCCGAGCAAACAGCATTTGTTTGCGCGCATGTAAACGATCAACTGGCGGTAGTCGTAAACTGATTGAGGTCATTTGCAGTCATCTCGTCACGAGAAGCGACGACAGCGGCGGCGGCGGCGGCGGCGGCAGCGGTGACGGCGGCGGTGCAGGTGCGAAGTGCCGCCGGCAACGCTGTTGGTGGCGGGCGCATACCGCGTCAAAAACCCCGTAAAGCCGCTCGAGCCGCCGAATCGCGCGCGCGCGTTGGTTGCCATGGCATTTACTCTTTGATTTTAATCGCGTATCTTCGCCGTAGACAAAAGCGCACGCGGGGAACACCAGCCCGCCGACGAGGTCGCCGCCTGAGAGTTGGCCGACGGTTGCACATAGGCGGCGTGTGAGAGTATTACAGCCGACAGCCAGCCGACGGGAGTTACCTGAGAGATAGGCCATTTTTCGCCGCTCGTCCTGATAAGCGCCCCACGGGGGGCCACCCTGCCCCGGAGCCAGTGACAAACCGCATATCATTTATCAGTGAAGATGCGCGCACCTGCATCCTTTTAAAAACGTGTTCGCAAATTTTCGTGACACTCTTTTCGACAATGAGACGCGCGGGGCGCGCGCGCGAGATACGCGAGCGGGCCGGAGCTCTACCACACACACAGGCGGCTTAGTGGCGGACTCTCCTTCGTCTCGGCAGAACTCCCGGCGCTGCACATGTCTTTTCGTTCGCCAAACATGCAGGCACTTGGAGCGTCTCAATAAAGAAAAATAATGCTAAATAACTACCAAGGTCTTAATGTTTCTCTACTCTCTTTCGCCTATTATTGCCGATAATTTCCTGCATGTAAATGCATATATATAAGTGTAAACGTGCAGTGACGTGCGTGCGGTGTACGTGTGTTGCAGAGAAGAATTTGAACAGCATTTACAGGAAATTATCGGCAATAATAGGAGAAAGAGAGTAGAGAAACATTAAGACTTTGGTAGTAAATACATTTCGTGTTTATTTAGCATTATTTTTCTTTATTGAGACGCTCCAAGTGCCTGTGGATCGCTGCGATCAAAACTAGCCTTTCGCGCGGTTAATTTCGATGAGTAGCGAAACCCGCGGTGACATATTATAGCGTATTTCAAACGCGATTCATTCGCGTTATGATGTAATAATTTAACGACTAGACTATCGAAAACACGTGAGTGTAGCGGAGGCCCGTACGCTAGCCAGGCAGGCAAGCACCCACGATTCCCATTATACACGCTAGTCAAAACGAGCGCCGCCAGCGCGAGAAATGGCGAGAAAAAACGCCAAAGTACATAAATAAACGCGTGTTATTTTGACAACATCCAAAATAACATAAACGAAGGGATCTTTTGCAGAAATAAACATCGGTATTAACATGTCGCCGGTTACAGAAATTAGGCGCTTTCGAGCATATCCAAACGTTCGTAGTTTATCGAACTAAAGCTTGGAAGACTCAAAATGAGCCATAGCGAGGAGGAAGGGGTGCAACGGTATATAAAGTCTATACAGTTAAAGGCGTGAGTTCTTTCGTTATTATAGCTGCACCCAACTAACCCTATTAGCCACAAAACGTCCGGCAGTGGAATGCCAAAATAATTCTTTCAAGACAACAAAATAAACCGAGTCGTGAGTTTCGGTTAGCCGTGGTGCCGTTTTCTGTGACATTTTGACGTGTGAAATTCTCACAAATTTCGCCTCTCGCGCTCTTGTGGAGTTTACTGGAAGCACGAATCGGGTGTGTCGCATGTCACTTACCTTCACAGACGGGACAACACTGATCCTTGACATCCACTGGATCATCGCAGGGCGTGTAACATTTTGTTTCCGTTACCGAAAGAACGCCCGCCTGCAAGACGAAGAGATCGCGACAGCGCGAGATAAACATGGCGGTAAATTATTAACGATATATGTCACTAGGGTAATATAGGGGGTACATCAGGTATATATAGGGGTGAATAATGATATATTGTATATGTTTAACAATATATAACAATGTTTAACAAAAATGCTTAACAACAATGTTTTAACAAAAATGCTTAACAACAATGTTTTAACAAAAATGCTTAACAACAATGTTTAACAACAATATTTAACAATGTATGTTCCCGGCAGTTCTTTGAGGTAGCATCTTATAGACCGCCAGATATAACGAATTATTGGGGTTCGAGAAAAATGTTGCGGATTATTAAACATCTCTTGAACGGTCTGAGTGTGTAATTAGAAATTCTAATAATGCCACGCATATTATCGAACAATATACGCGCACGCGCACTTTCAAATACATACATGCACGCGCATGATCGAACACACGCTCGCGGACACGCACGCACGTTCACGCGCATGCACGCATGTACGCTACGCCCCGGTCACAGACACCTCGACGGGCACATACGCACACAGAACAACACACACACGCTCACGGCACACGCACACACGAAACACCACAGCATGGCACTCGGGTAGAAATTCAAACAGGAAAATATCATTTCGCTATTCTATCGCACACGAGGAAATCGGATAACAGCAATCTATAAAAGTCACACACGCACACGGCATACACACGCAACACGCGACACGTTACAGCGCACACGCACACGCACACGCACACGCACCACGCAACACACGCACACGCACTAACACTACGCACACGCACGTACACACACACACACACACACGTATACATGCTTCTGTTGGAATATTAGTATCACTTTCGGCCTAGCTATAGCCCCGGCGGATACCTGACATGTGAACTCTCTGCAGGGGTCGTGTGCGTCCATCCAGCTCGTGCCGCTAACGTGTGTCGTGTTCTTGTAGACGCAGCCTGCGCATGTTAAACAAACACGAAAACAATTTACATAGTTGTATGTTGTTTTACCAGCACTGCTCCGCCACTCGAACACTGTCCCGTCTTTAATCCTGTATCAATATTTATACGTGTAAGACGCTTACTCGTGTTTTTTCCTCCCGATCTAGACAGAATTGGAAATGTAAACATGCGGCCAGATTTCTACCCGCGTAAAGCATTTTTCTTACGGAACTGAACTGTGCAATTATGACGTGTATATTGAAAGGGGGAGTTCCCGTGCGCGTGGACGGACGTATCGTCTTGTTTCGGCACATCTATCTCAACTATCTAGATGTACAGATTAGAAGTTGAGCGCTTATTCACTAGTTAGCAATAGTACCAAGCCATACCATAGCCATAGCCATAGTCATAGCCATAGCCATAGCCATAGTTATAGCCATAGCCATAGCCATAGCCATACCATAGCCATAGCCATACCGTAGCCATAATACCAAGTCGACTTCTTTGTATTATTACATTTTCAATACTCAATACATTTTCAATACTCAATACATTTTCAATACTCA